TAAAAGGGCACTTTTGGGGACTTGAAAAATTGGGGGCACTGTGCCCCCCCGGGAGCGCCGCCTCTGGGTAATATAAGGGAAACATCATATTTATTTCATGTTCAAGTTCAAGATCAAGTTGATTTAATCTTTCTTTTAACGATAATGACATAACGACGTTCTACATACATGTGGTACATGAAGGAAAAAAAAGCTAAAGGCTAATTCAATGGATGAAAGACAGACGAGGAGACCTTGGGAAAAACTTAGCTATAAAGGTCAGCTCCTTCAATAACGATAAAAACAGTGTATTGCTTTTAAAAAACCCTCTATAACTTATTAGAAACATGGTTTGTTATGCGCCATAACATTAAAAGTGGTATAATACCAAAAACGTTTAACAAATTGGTCAAATACTGTAAAAAATAATTATAAACGTGAATATAACTTTATAATAGGAAAAATGGAAAAAAGGGAGAATAGAATATGTACAAAAGGGGCAAAAAGAGTCGTAAAGTACAAGATATGGAGATAGAAAGAGGTAGAGGGAGAGCGGGAAAAGAGATACAATAACAGAACAAGAATGAGAAAAGAAAAAAAAAGAAAGGAAAAGACAAGCTGATTACAGGTTTGCAGTTTTCTATATATTAATGAATACGTAGAATCACTGGCGTACTGGTGGGGGGAGGCTTGGGGGCGCCAGCCCCCCAATAAAATTAAACCAGGACTTTTTTCAATTCCATACAAGTGATTTATATTAATCTTCGTGATATCACATGATTTTCAACAAAATACGCGTTTCTCCATTTCTGTTGCAAACTGACACATTCCCAAATATCCAGGAAGAGCATACGTTTGTTATTGTCACTAATGGACCTTAGTTGCCACTAACAGTAACACCAGTAGAAATTTCCTTTCCAGAAGCTAATGCGACAAGCACTGCCTGGAGAAAACATGCTACCCACCACTCGGGTTGTGCATGCACAGATTTGTGAACGAACGTTCCAAACGTGAAAGCTTCTGCGCTACGCGCGGGATGGGCGAAAATAATTTCAGACTCAAGGATTAAGAGTAATAATTAAATGAAACGTCAAAGCGCGGGAATATTTAGACAAGGACACGATACAACGATTCGTCTTCTTTTTCTAATAATTAAATGAAACGTCATAGCTTCTGCGCTTCGCGCGGGAGGGGAAAAACTGAAAAACCCCGGGTTTATAGGGTTGAATTTGTAGACATTGGGACATTGGTATTAATATATTTGTCGGTAATTGGTGGTAGTTTTGTCGGTAATCGGTGGCCTCTACACCCCCCCCCCCTCCCCCACTGAAAAGGTCTAGCGACGAGATACACTCGAGATAATTTTTGCAAGTACTACTGTTGAAGTACCGGACACCGTCTTTTTCCATTGTGCAGCAGCGAAGCATATACAATGTCTCACGACGTGACAGATCACTTTTCTCTAACTCTAACCAAAATCAAAAGGCCTCGTTTTTTCCCAGGAAGTGCCGACGGACATTAATGCGCCAATTTGTGGTTCTCAAATTGCAAAAGATCCCTACTCTTGGATGGGGTAGGAGAAGGCAATTTTACGTCATATTACTCAAGGAAGTGCCTGAAAATGTGTCTAATGTGGTTCTAAAATAAATTATTGCAAATGCTTCCTACTCATAAAAGGGGGTCAGAACCCCCACCCAGACCCCATCCCGCTTTGTCGCCCCGCTCCCTCGCCGCTAAAGCCTCGCTCTGTCGCTTCATCGTTTTACATATTTTCACCCAATGCCATTTTGTGCCCCCTACCCGGTAAATTCCTGGTTCCGCCACTGATGCCCATACCCCTTGAGCTTCGGGGGCTCCGCCCCTTGACCCTGCCGGGGCTTTGCCCCTGGAACCCACTTTGAAAAACGTTCAGCGGGGCCAGCATGTAAGAGTGGGGTGATGCAGATTTTTTTGTCAGCCCCCCCCCCCAAAAAAAAAACGTTTTTGCTCATTACGTTTGTAATTTCTACCTAACTATTTAAAGCATAAGTTTACGAATATAAAAAGTAATTACTCAATAAGACATGATTAAAGTTTACATTATATTTGTGTGTATATATATTATATTCCTACTTGTTTTGTATTAGATTCGCTGATTTTTTTATACTATATTATTTTCATTGATTTGTATTTTGTATACATGTATTTTGTTTATCTGTAATTGTATTGTTTCATTTTGTTTTTAATATGGTTCAGACCTATGGAACTTTCTCCCCAAATCTATTAAATCATGTTGCTCTCTCTACTTATTTAAGAACAAAGTTGAAACGATGTTGTTATCAGAATATTCAAGTTAAAATTTATGTGTCAACTCTTTAATCTCAAGTTATCATAATGTCATCTCTTCCCTCATTCGAATCATCATCATCACCACCACCATCATCATCATCATCATCATCATCATCATCATCATCATCATCTTCCTCAGCATCATCCTCATCTGCATTGTAAATATCACCATCCTCATAATTTGCATTTCTATTACTTATCCATTCTGCTTAATAAATAATTCATGACTTTTGTCTGGGGCTGTCTTATTTTTAAGCAATCTGCTTACAATGACAGTCCTTCTTCCTCAAATAGTTTTATAATGTTTGATGAAATTATTATTTATGGCAGTTTGTCATTTCTTTTTTGAAAATAAAAACTGTTATATATATTTGTTTATTTATGATTCACTATCGAAAAAACTGTGCACTTATATGAATGCAGAAGAAAATAAAACCTAATCTAATCAAATCAAGGGATTGTGTTTGTGTGTGTATGGGGGGGGGGCGACGTATTACATGACATGCTTATAAACTAATGGGGAAGGGGTTGGGGAATAAATAGTCATCACGAAATACTGACCTTTTGTGGTATTTTATCTGTATTAGTAAAAAAATATATTTTACAGCTTAATTGTGTATCGTGATCAAAAGCCTTCATTCTTGTTTTCATTATCAGTCTATGTTTTGCGTTCGTTTCGTTTTATTATGCATTGTACTATTTTGTTAATTTGTTTATTGTTTTATATTGTATTTGAATTGTATTGTGTAATACATCCAGGCTCTCTTGCAAAACAGTTTCATGCACTGAAGAGACTACCCTGCATATAAAGAACTATGAGATACAAAAATATATATACTTGAATAAATACCTTCATTTATGTTTAAATGTGCGTTCATATGCCAACAAAGAATAGCACTCGTTTGTGGTAATGAATAACCGAATGACGTTTGAAGACAGACATACTGACAGCATGAGTAATTCTTGAGTCTAGAGAGTTCCTAACCTAAGTCTCGGTCCAGTACCTATACAGTAGGCCTACAGATCAAAATGTTTTGAGTAAACTTCACCTCTACCGTAACCGCAAATACTGGAAAAACGCTAAGGCAGCAGCCGAGCTTCTACGTCTATCTTCATGTCCTTACACAAAGTAAATGGATCATGCAGAAGAATTGTGAATTTGATAATTTTTCTTTAAGATTTTGGCTAAAACAAGTGGCATGAAACACAAGTTAAGATCAAACATTGAAATGCCGCAAAATATCTTCTAACTTTAAGACTAAGGAGTGTTTTTAAAATTTCGCCATTATGTTAAACAAAAATGTTAGTACGCATATATAAAAATTAATTCATGCATAACAAGGGTTGGATTGCCCTTTAAAACTCAAAAAAACTATTTATAATACAGTGCCCTTGTACATCATCTAGTCAGGGGCGGCGCCAGGTTATTTTGTTAGGGGGCGAATGGGCGCCCCAGCGCCACTGTCGCGATTGCGCGACGCAGGGGTGTCTGAGAATATTGTGCCCCCTCAGCCCGCCCCTCAGAAGTTGAGGATTTTTATTTAAATTGATGCATAAATGACTTGATTTGATGCATCCTTTTTAATTGCCAAATTAAAAAGAAAAACAGTTTTAAGTTCAACTAGCAGAAACAAGAACGCATGGGGGTGTCTGAAGGGAAATGTGCCCCCTCAGAAGTTGAAGTTTTTTTTAATTGATGCATAAATGGCTCGATTTGGTGCATACTTTTTTGTCAAATTAAAAAGAAAGTCAATCTTAAGTTCAACTAACAAGAACAAGCTCAAATCAAATAGGCTGGCTTACCTGAAATGATGTGAAATGCTAATTACAGCGTCACAAACATGCACTACTTTTTATTTACTTCTGTCAAAAGGAACTCCAATTTACGGGGATGTTTTCGGGTAAATGCGTCAATCACTTTGTTTATATATTTATCAGTATCTCTGTTTGACCAGAAGACTAGTGAAGACAAACGTTCTTGGGCCATTGTTGATCTCAAGTACATTTTAAGCAATCAAAGTTCACTATTAATGCCCCACTGTCCTACTTGTAGCTAAACCGTTGCTCCCTCTATATAGAAAACTTCCCCAATCGGTGCCTGTTGGTCCCCCATGTTCCTCTTTTTCTTATGTTAGTTGAGAGCTGAGTTAATAAGATAGCCACTTGTCAGTGACCTCGCTGTGCATGCCTAATCCCTTCTGGCCCAGTAGACGTATTGACGGTCTTTAAATTGAACGCTCAGCAGTAAGTGCGAAGGTCATCGTATTTTTCAGAATTATAGATCAGTGTATGTCGTTTTCTTATTAGGAGATACAAGGGATTAATTTGATTTTTTTTTTAGTTGGTAAAAGGCTTTTCGTCGTTAACCAATTCTTGAACTTCCGGTATTAAATGTTAATGTAATAATGACGCATCTATTTCTGATCGCCTCTCTTTTCCCCCATGCGGCCAGCATGCCCCTCCCCCCCCCCCCCCCCCCCCCCCCATGCCCCGCCCCCTATAGGTCACTGGACCTACATGCCAAGTTCACCGCACCACCACGTCACATGATACAGCAAACAGATACAAATGTATTTTATGTGTGAAGGGAGTGAACCAAACCAATCAAAATCCGATGATTAATAACTCTGTTATTGTGTGTGTTATGAGAGGGCGTTTCTTTGGGAAGTCAATGTGCATGCAAAGCCTCGACCTATAATAAGCTAAGAATTGCACAGAATCACATCCGGGCTATGTTGAGCTTCCAAAAACATGGCGACTGCAGAGGGAGGAGGAAAAGACGAGGTGAAAACACAATTCACCACTCGGGAGGGGACGTACAAACTTATGACCTTGTCTGAGTATTCCCGACCTACAAGGCAACCGTACAGTGTCCAGTGCTGCCATCCTGTAAAAGTGTCATTTACCAGTATTAATGAGACTGGGGTGTGTAATGATAAGATATGCTTCAATGTAGGTCGCGAGCTCTATTTCTATCCATACAAGGGAGTACGGAAGGTAAGTGAAGCCAAGGGACTTGCACTTGCAGTCATGCAATTTACGAAGGGTCGTACTAGCCTCGAGAGGAAGGATAGCTGTATTGACACAATAATATGGAAGAGTGAAATTAAGGCCATTAATTATCCATAGATCCTGGAATTTTGACGCTTGTTTACAACTGTGACCATTCGACTATGTGGACATGGTGGACCAGCAGTAATTTAACTCCTCTGTGGAGTGTAGCGTGCCCGGTGTTCAGTCACTTAATATATTTTGAATTCCTACCTCCTTTATTTGGCAATCTACCCATCAAAAGAAAAGAAATTAGTCCTCTAGATCTAGACTTTTTCTAGGCCTAACAGGATTTTAAATTTGTCACTTAAAATAGAGAATGATGATAGCAAATTATTTCCGAAAGAAGAAGGACAAGGAGCAATTTTCGGTCATGCCGAATAGAATTTGGTCACACGATTTGTGCGTGGTATCTACGTTGACAAGGATCGAAGCGCATCTGCGCACTATTTTCACACAATTGTGCGACAAAGCACTGAATGTCATTAATTGCGCTGACCGAATACTGGACGAGCGCTACCGCATGGCAAGGCCAAGGGTATCGTATAAATATCTCTTGCACATCGGCAAGTGCGTCATTTGCAAATTCGAACACGGAAAAGCTCATCTTCACACACATACTAAACTCATTGCACCAGCACACTTGTTAGCTCATGTGCTAACAGAACCCGGAAGTGCAGAAAGTTGTGCGACACTGACCAATTTCTAGTTGAGTTGATCTGAAAAATGCGCAATGCACATGGACTGCATAGGGATGCCTGCAATCTCTCTGGGAAAGATTTTAGGACACAACATCGGTCGCGCGATCAAACACCCTAATATAATTATAACACACAAAAATCCTATAAATCTTCAACAATTAGCCAAATAACGGTCATGATTTAAAAGTCGTTCAAATTTTCTTATATCGTTTTGGAGTATTTTCCTTAAAACAAAGAGAGGTTGCACATTCGTAAGCCTCTTATTTGGGTAGGGTCGGCTCCTCTCTTTAGAGACAGATACCGATCATAGGGTCTCCCGTGCAAACGTTGTGGCCATTTAAGGAATATATCTATGTGCTGATTTTTTTTACTAGCCCTAAGGGATCACATACGATTACAGTATTCAATACCCTTCCCTCAACTTTTCAGATCAGCTGAGTAGGGAGACGTGACTCCCTACTCAGCTGATCCGAAACCCATGGTGACAGCGCGTAGAATCTTCACATGCATATGCATTTCACGCTCGGTGTGTATGCATTCGCATTGCTTGTGTGCGTTTGTGTATTTTGCGACCGGACCAGATACGGATGCCAGAGCTGCCAAGTGGTATGGATTTGCCGTATTCCGTACGGAAATCAACTTTAAATACGGACGTACGTTTTTTCATCTTAAAATACGGATAAATAAAATTAATTTTTTTTTTTTTTTTTTTTGCCGATTCTGTCAGCAGCAAGCCAGGTCCGTGTTAAAATAAGACCCATGCGGGAAGGACTTTCATTTAACTGCAAGCTGCAGTTGAATGTGTAAGATCATTAATGTAAAATTAAAAAAACAGTCGAGGACCTACAGTACATGTAGGATAGAACCTTGTGGTACGCCATGTGTAATAGAAGAAAAATTGGAGGAATTGTTATTTTAAACTGCATATTGAGATCTATCAGAAAGATTACTTTCAAACCAAGATGACAGACAAATTTGATTGTTGTTTTAGTTTCCTAGTGGTGAGTCAACGCACCGATTACTGAGCTGGGAGACATTGCCAGGCAGAGCGCCAAGTGGAGGGGCATAAATTGAAACTTTAATTTTGATTTTTAATTTTTGTACCTTTTAAGTGCATCTTATACATGGAGATTAACGGTAGTGTAGATCTAGTACAACACAATTGTTCACATGTGGGACGGAAATGTAATAAGTAATCGAACATTGCTGATATGCATGCATATTTTTTTCACGCGGAAAAAAATACTGATTTTTGGGTCAAAATACTGATTTTGGGGGATAAGAATACTGAAAATGCAAAATACAACTTGGCAGCTCTGGGATGCACAATGAAGGCAACAGAGGTGGAGCTTGCGATAGCGCTAAAGTAGCGCTGCATTTAAGCAACAAGCGTATGCTTGCATATTGCGCGATGCAGCTGTTTAGCAAAACAAAATAATTCTGTTTGTACGTCTTTTTTTGTTGATTCTGACAAAATTTGGATGAATATTGCCTAGATTTTGGGGGGCTGTATCTTTTGATAGAAACATCAGTGAGTCTTGAAATTTGAAATGTATTATTATGAGTACATGTTTTTTTCAATTATCCTACCATAATGGTGAAAAACGATCCAAAAGGGACAATAAAAAAATCGTTCAGACACCCTACTTTTATACTGGTAAAATACTCTACTATTATAACCCACGTTATGTTATTTAATCATATAGGGCTTTTAATGATAAAATGGAAAGACATTTTGTGGATATGTAAACTTACTTTTCGAGAGACGACTGCTTAGTTCCCTCTTCAAATCGGTAAAATAAAAAGCGTGCGTTGCAAACACTCCATATAATCCATAAATCGCCCCCGCCATAAATTGATATTCCCTAGGAAGTAATAAATTAATTTATTGATGGGTCTAAGTGAAATCTCTGTTCCAACTACAAAACTCCAAAACTAGAAACTTCCATCAACATTTAAAAAGATTTGTGATTGCAGCGAATCGGTGGTTGTACCTACTATAGCTAGATCTACACACCGCGGTATCCGCCTAAGCTCCTGGCCCGGCCGCCGATGGAAAAATGGAGTACGTCGCAGTTTCGTACTTTATGCGTACACAGTTCGCACACATTCACAATACACAGAACTGGCTCAGGTCGAGCACACATTCACAATACACAGAACTGGCTCAGGTCGAGCAGCACGCGCGCCCGTAGATGATCAAAACAAGTATTTTCGAGTACCGTCCGTCAGTGCTGAACGAACCGCTAGCAACCAAATTTGGGACAGAAAAAAAGAGACTAAATAACATATTACAGTTGTATATGTTGATTTATATATAATAACTGAATAACAAAGAACATATGAATGTAAGATATTATAATACAAAATATGCAAACAATAATAACTTCATGTCAAAATGTGTTTTTTTACATATGTACTTAAGGAGAAAAAGACTAAATAACATATTACGTACCAATTTGGTCACTAGTAGTATGGTGGCTAAGTAAAAAACACAGCTTATTGTCCAAGCTTATAATATGGCTTTAAAGGGACTTGATAACATTGTTCAGATGCGAGAAAATGGTGCGAAGGTAGTGACTTCAATGCTAGATGTACACTTAAAGATAATCTGAAAGTTTGAGTGAAAACAGACCATTATTAATTATAAAAAGTGGGAAAAACTGATCTGATGGATTCCTTAATTCTCCCAACTATATTTTTAAATTTAATTACATTTTAGGTGAATGTAAATAATAATAAATAATAATAATAGTGGGTTCTTGTATAGCGCTCATGTCAGTCAGATTTGACCCTCCTGGCGCTCCCGATTATTACCCTGGCTTTAGCACGGCTGCCATACGGCGCTCTAACATTTCAAGGAATAAATTCCTACCAGGTACCCATTTACTTCACCTGGGTGGAGTGTGGCAAATGTAGATCAATGTCTTGCCAAAGGACATTAGTGATCGACAGTCCGGCGACATATCCACTCGACCACAACACCAAAATCGTCACAAAGCAATGAATTGGCTCTATAAACAGTGTACCATTCCAGACAATTCAGTGTTGAAAGATTTGTTAAAGCTTCTCTTATGTCTCATATTCATGGAAAAACGGTTGGGAAAATTAAAAAATGGTAGGGAGACTTTCAGAATTTACTGCTAGAGGGTGTCGCACAGTAATAATAATAATAATAATATGTCTTGTTTACCCAGGGTAGCCTCATCAGTATTCATACTGTTCTCCCTGAGGGCCCTGCAATCATATTATTACCCTGGTTATCGGATTCAGGCTTACCCGCACACAACGTATGCACATTCTCCACTTCCTGGGGAGCATTCCAGCCAGGCGTCATGTTTATAACCTTCAACAATGTTACCGAGTCACCTTAAGAAAGTAGCCCCCTTTTGTAACATTGAAGCCCTAAAAAAAAATCACACTTCAAAATGATCAAGAAGTGCCTCAAAACAGTAACAAATCTTGGAGTGACCGGTTTTACCATACTCGTTTTCCCCAATAGACTGTAGTGTTATGAAAACGCAAAATTTGATTTCGATTTGCAATTATAAATATCTTGATAGTCATGGGGGTTCCTGACTGACTTAAAGGTTTATAATTATCATTGCAGCATGAGCTAAATCCAGGATTTTGTTTCAGAATCTGAGACAAAGTTAGCTGTTGGTTATAAGTGGTTATTTTACCCGACTGCTAAGAAAGCATAAATGCTTGTAAGTAAGCAACCAGATGGTCAACGGCTTTAGGTCATCTCCGAGGGACCTGGTAATGAGGATTAATGCCTTACCAAAGGGCACTAGCGCATCGACTTGGTTTCGAACCCGGGTCACCAGATTACGAGACCACTGCTCTACCAACTGAGCTATATTGTGCCTCCTCTGAGCTATCGTGCCTCCTCTGAGCTGTCGCGCCTCCTCAGCTGTTAACCCGGTTTAATGTACCAGGTGTGAAAACTTAATTTCTTAGCCCAGCTATCCTAAGCCAGATCCTTAGCCCGGGTTATCTGAACCAGGTGTGAAAACGGTACTAGACTCTTTCACTAGAACAACCATGATTCTTACATAAATTAAACATACAGTGTTACATATTCAAAATTACACTGCAAGGACAGCTAAACACACACAAATTGTTAAACCTATTACACACAGACACAGTCACTGACTACAATGGAAGTCACATAAAACTTGCTGCAGTGCTCCTCTGTAATGCTAGGCTTAGGGACAACACACATGTAGATATAAATGCGTAAGTCAAACTTCTACGACTTATGCACAAGTTGAAGATATCCTAAGTCAATGAACTTCACTCAGTCCCGTCAAGGTCGAATTTCGTGAAGTTGATTGTAAAAAGAGGATCCAACTCTTGTAACTAAATATCTTACAAATATCATCCTAAACATGACCACAAACAAAAATCAAAAACTCAGCACCATCTTCCCAGCTCTATGGTAAAATCATAGACGCCTGACGCAAATATTTGTTCTTTACTCTGAGCTACAGGGTGTACTGTCACAGCAAAATGCGAAGCACAACGTGCTCCTCAAACTTCATGCTTTTTTGTGCCTTCATACTTTTTTGTGCCTTCATACTTTGGGCGATCACTTGCAGAGGTGCATACGATTTGTATGGTATTTTTTTTGTATTCAGTTAAATCATGAAAAATGTGAATTTTGATACACTATTTATAAACAAATCAATAATTATGAATATACTATATTCAGAAAAAAGTATAAATTCTTCAAAGTTCATAAAAGATTTTGTGAAGTGTCATGCACTCAATATGATACAAATCATTATACATGTAACCTGGGCAAAGGCATGGGAAAATCAAGTTTTGGGGGATAAAAAGGGAAATTAATGGAATAAAATTTATGAAGCAATTGATAAATAGTGAGACAATGTCGTCAAAAACTGATAACCAAATTTGCAATTTGTGTAGTGATTTCCATTGTTCCATAGGTTTTCATACTTTTTCAAAAATTCATATCTTCCTTATTAGTTATCCGATTTTGCTCAATTTTTTTTTGCTCCGTTTCTCTTGTTTTTCTGCGTCTATTAAAAGCAGATTATGTTCGGAGTGGACTTAGCCTTTAAGGTTCAAGTACCGTAGGAATAAAGGGATTAATTTGCATAATTCCCCCTCCCCCCATACCATCACACTTGAGATTTGCATTAGCCAAAATATCTAGTCATAAATACTATTATTTCTTGATTTATACTGCATTTTTGGAACTTGTAAGCAACTAATCTGATTTTAAATCTGGTTTCTAATTCAAAGTTCATAATTTTAACCCTATTTCTGTTTGTATTTGTATTTATTTGTATTTATGCATGAATATGATGTATATTAAATAAAATGTGAAAAAAAACTTTAAAATAAAGTGGAAATGTTATACCTGTAAATAATTGAGTAAGTTTGCGAATATGCATTATTTCAAATGAATTTCAATCTTCAGAAGACTATTTGAATACTACTTTATATGAAAGATTTCCATTACTTTTATATCTCACTACTGAATTTGTTCTATCATTATTATGACACTTATTATCTTCTCCCCATACATATGTGTCTCATGTAGGCAGCAGATCTGACCAAGCCCTTAGACAAGAGGACATATAAAGGTGGGACACTACCAACATGTCATGACTTCAACCAGCTTACTGCCAATGCTAAGGGTGTGTCTGTTATAGTAGGCTTCTCAGCTGGACAGGTTCAACTCATTGACCCCATTAGAAAAGATATCAGCAGGATCTACAATGAGGAGGCAAGTCCTTTCATCCTAGCTTTTCTCATGTTTTCCATGTTTGAATTTCCTTTAAAAAAGAAAAAGAAATGTGTCTAAAATTGTGTACATAAAAGTCATAAAGTGTGGACTCCCTTAACTATTTGTTTGTAAAATCCAGAGCTGTGAAATTCTCTGTTTATATTTGCTGCTGCAGCAGGTCAGAAAAGCATTTTAATATCTTGTGTGAATAGGACTATTTTGGTTTCATTTAGGCTGGGTTACATTACATTACATGTATATAGATAGTAAAACGCTAAATCTCCAGGTATTTGTCAAATCAGAGTTGTTAATATTATTTTATTTTATTAAAAGATGAAGTTCCTATAATGTCAGGGATGTGATATAAGATTCTAGGATAAGTAGGTCAAAGTCATAGAGGTCAATTTCTAAAAATTCATGTTTTAGTCTCATTATCGCGCAAGATGTCAAGAACCACTTGAGGTGATAAACTTCAAAATTTCACACTTGTGTTCAGAGATGGTCCGAAGAAATTTGGATGTTTGTTAGATTAAAGATGGGTTTCATCATACAAATCTAACCATTTGAACTGAACCATACTGTGGCCAAAAAAGATACAGAACATTGCCGAACTGAATGCTAACTAACTATTTTCTTTTGTTTCTTATTTTTTGCAGAGAATGATAGACAAGAGCAAAGTATTGTGCCTAAAATGGGTTCCTGGAACGGAGCATATGTTCATTGCATGCCACCAGAGTGGTTTTATGTATGTATACAATGAGACTCTGGTACCAGTGAATACACCTCCTCACTATCAGCTTGTAAAGCAAGGAGAAGGCTATGCTGTCTTCACATGCAAGAGTAAAACGCCAAGGAACCCTGTCTATAGGTGGGCAGTAGGTGAGGGTTCTGCCAATGAGTTTGCCTTTTCCCCGGATGCTAATTATATAGCATGTGTTTCACAGGATGGTTTCCTTAGAGTGTTCAACTATGACACAATGGAACTCCATGGCATGATGAAGAGCTACTTTGGTGGTTTGGTTTGTGTGTGTTGGAGCCCTGATGGAAAGTACATTGTAGTGGGTGGAGAGGATGACCTTGTCACGGTGTGGTCATTCTTTGAACAAAGGGTCATAGCAAGGGGCAGAGGTCATAGTTCATGGGTCAGTGTGGTGACCTTTGATCACTACACAACAGGGATGATGAACGTGGATGGCACAGACTTTGGTAGTGATGATGACTTTGGTACTCAGAATAATGATTTGAGTAATAACAGGGAACGTTCGTTCAGCAATTACTCTAGGAACTCTATACGCAGTACAAGTGACCTCCCTCCCCCGCACCTATACAGGTTTGGCTCTATCGGCCAGGATACTCAGTTGTGCCTATGGGAATTGACAGAGGACATGATCCAACAGTTCCAACCCCCTGCAAGAACTCGCACCAACACGCAGCTATCTGCATCCCATTGCAATAATATCTCACACAAAAGCAGCAGCAATGCCAGCTCCAACCATCCTGATGGAACCCACTCCAAGTTCTCTACTCTCTCGTTGTCAGACAAACACAAGGAGAAGAACAAGAAGGACAGTGTGTCAAGTAAGAGTAGTGTCCATTCGCATTTGAATAAGATGCACCTGAGGATCTTTGAGGAAGCATCCAAAGCCATTGGGACTCAGCTTTGTCCAAGGTTGGATGAAGTACTCACATTAGAGCCAATTGTGGCTAAAAAGGTTGCACATGAGAGACTAACATCACTGCTATTCAGAGAGGACTGCCTTGTAACAGCATGCCAGGAAGGGTTTGTCAGTACATGGGCCAGGCCAGGAAAAGTGGTAAGTTCGAGTTAGAGTTTCTCCATTTGCAAATATATTTCATTACTATAAAATGGGGAGAAAAAAAGAAAATTCATGTGAATAAAATACAATCTAAAGAGAATTTCTGGTTATATTAGATTATTTAGATACATCTGAGAGTCATATTTGTTAAACAATGACACAAAAGAGAATATGTAGACAGGAATGTTTGGATATGTTTGTTATTTGTTCGTGGTTATTTTATCTGTAATATTGTGTGAATCACTGACTGCCACCAAACTGACTCGGCACCGACTTCAGACAAACCAATTCTTGGCCAGTAGTGGTAATGTATCGGTCTGGTGTCAGTCTCATTGGTATGATTGGGATTCAAGTACTGACCTGACCTGACCAATACTGGGATTCAGCATTCATATTTTTCAATTGCCTTATTCCAGTACATTCAAGCATTTAAAGGCACAGAACAGGTCCAGGCACAAACACTAGCCACAAACGCAACACCTTGAAGCAGGTGCAATGGCAGGCCAGATTTGTCTGAAAACGTAGTTAAACTGATGTAACGGTCGATACAAACAAATGAGCGCATACAGAACATTTGTGTGATAACTCTGGGCCTGGCCGTCATTTTCTTAAGGTGTCTGCTGTTCACTGCTTACTGTGGCATGAACTCTATTAAACCAAACAATCAGTCAGTATATTTGGCGGCAGTACTCAGTAGAATAATACCTTGTGTGCAACAGGCTCAAGGTTGCAAGTGATTTACTCAAAAAGAAGTGGCTAATATTTGATTGCAAATATGATTTTTGTTGGTTATAATTTTATAGAAGGGGTCAGATTTACACAAGATGCTTGTGATATGTGATGTTTAATTCTGGTCCTGTTTCCTCCTTGCTATCTCCCTCCCTCCATTCCCTCCCTACTGTACCTCCCTTTCCTCCCTACCTCCATTCCCTCCCTGCCTCCCTCCCTGCCTCCCTCTCCCTCCATTCCCTCCCTCCCTCCATGCTCTCCCCTCTCTCCATATCCCCTCTCTCCATTCCCCCATTCTCCCTCCTTCCGTTCTCTCTTTGTCTCCCTCTACCAAACCGCCACCGTACTCTCCTTTCCACATTCCCTCTCTCCATCACACTCCATCTTTGTTCTTCCTCCATTTTTCTTTTTTTTTCTGTCCTCCTCTTCCTTTTCTGCCCTCCTTCTCTTCCTTTTCTGCCCTTCTTCTCTTCCTTTCCTGCCCTTCTCTTCCTTTCCCCTTCCTCTCTCCTTCCTCCTCCCCCCTCCTCACCCCAACCTCCCATCTACCTCCCTCACCACCACCTCCCTCCACCTCCTCCCTCCTCCCCTCCTCCAACTCCCCCCTCCTCCTCCCCTCCCCTCCCCTCCACCCCCCCCCTCCACCCTCTCCTCCCCTCCCTCCTCACCTCCCCCTCTCACCTCCTCTCCCCTCCACCACCTCCTCCCCCACCTCCCCTCCCCCCTCCACCTCCCCTCCACCACCTCCCCCCCTCCCTCCTCCCCTCCACCTCCTCCCCTCCACCTCCCCCCTCCACCTCCTCCCTCCACCTCCTCCCTCCACCACCCCTCCACCCCTCCACCACCTCCTCCCCTCCACCTCCTCCCTCCACCTCCTCCTCCCCCTCCCCCCACCCCTCCACCTCCCCTCCACCACCTCCTCCCCTCCACCACCCCTCCCCTCCACCACCTCCCCTCCATCACCTCCACCTCCACTCCCCCACCCCTCCACCTCCCCCCCCACCACCCCCCCTCCACCCTCCTCCCCCCCCCCATCCACCTCCTCCCCACCACCTCCCCTCCACACCTCCCCCCTCCACCACCTCCCCCTCCACCCCTCCCCTCCACCTCCCCCCTCCACCTCCTCCCCCCCTCCACCTCCTCCCCCTCCACCTCCTCCCCCGCCCCCTCCACCACCCCCCTCCACCCCCTCCACCACCTCCACCACCCCACCTCCCTCCACCACCTCCCCCTCCACCACCTCCCCCTCCACCACCTCCCCTCCACCACCTCCCCCCCTCCACCTCCTCCCCTCCACCACCTCCTCCCCTCCTACCCTCCACCTCCTCCTCCTCCCCTCCACCACTCCTCCCTCCTCCCCTCCCCCCCTCCACCACCTCCCCCCCACCACTTACTCCCCTCCACCACCTCCCCTCCACCACCCCTTCCACCACCTCCTCCCCTCCACCACCCCTCCATCTCCTACCCTCCACCTCCTACCCTCCACCTCCCCTCCACCGCCCCTCCACTCCCCCTCCACCACCTCCCCCCTCCACCATTTCCCCCTCCACCACCTCCCCTCCACCACCTCCTCCCCTCCACCACCCCTCCATCTCCTACCCTCCACCTCCTACCCTCCACCTCCTCCCTTCCGCATCCCTCCACCACAGGGTCTGAGTGGTACCTCAAGAGAGTTATTGTCACGGTGAATGTTTCATCACAGTCAGTCATTGCCTGAGCCTAGTTCAAACCAGTTAGTGCTTCATTTATTTTTTTACCTCTTCATGCTAAAAATAATTCTGTCAGTGGTGATGGGACTGCTTTCTGTCAAAATCTCATCTATAATCAATATAGAAAATGTTTTATAAAATACAGTCAACCTTGACAGACTGAATGAAATGCCATGCCTTATGCAATCTTTGAATTGTTTGTACTGTAAGTCATAAAAATACGACTTATGTATGCATGTACATGTATGCATGTACTGTAGTCTGTAGATGTAGATGTACATGTACATGTATGTACAGTATGGTGAACCAAACAGCTTGTGCAACAACCCCAAGTTATGTCCCATTCACAGATCAAAATGCAACAGTTGAACAGATTTTAAACGAATGGTATTCCTTGTAAACAGCAGGGCAATGCAAATATCGACCATACATGTACCTACATTTAATGTACTTTTATGGACATTAACAAAGAGAAATCCAGGTCAGATAAAGCAAAAAAGATCATCCCTCTCTCCCTCTCATTTTCATTACTGCCTTTATCATGACTTTCAGTTGTTCGCCAGTCACCACAAGGTGGCGCTCTTACCGGGAAGTACAGATGAGCTTCTTAGTGTTATAATACATGAAAATCTCATTCATCTTTCTGTGTATGGACAAGTTATTCAGTGCCTGCAGTGATGATCTACTCCAATCCCAATAAATCCCCAAAATAATGTTAGATTGTAGGTGACAGAGAAGATTACATACTACTCTATAAGGTTTTTCAGAAAAGACATGACTTTAAATAATAGTATGTTGTCTTTGATCAGGTTTCAGAAAGTCTTTTTCAGATTTTGTTTGACATATCTTGCTACATGTACATGTACATGGATCATGTACATGTATCTAGTGTTTTTACTACAATTTTCTTAGTTTTTTATTGAAGCAAAATAGTATTTATATTCATGAATTATAGAATCAGCCAATAGTTGGAATACTTTATAAACAACAACTAATGATTCTCTGAGTCTTAATTGTTTTACTTTGTGTTTCTTAGTATTTCAGCAATGATATTCAAACTAACATGTGTGTAATTAACAACTAATCTCTATGACTTGTGTGCAATTCAATACATTGCTATAACATTGGGATTCATAGAGTGATGTACAGTACATTGTAAATGTATGATATTCATTTACAATACATGTACTTCTTTGGTCATATTCTGAAACCAATGTTAGCTTTTATTTTGGGGAAAACGATGCTAATTGTGAATTGTCAAAACAAAGTTGAATTCCGTGGAACTTTAATTTACCAATGGTGCTTGTGCAGGGTCTGTTTTAACTTTACGTGAACCCAGCCTGCTCTGTTCAGTCATAAACCAGCCTGCTCTGTTCAGTCATAAACCAATGACGTGACTGTCCTAATTATAATTACTTATAATTATGTAAATGTTAAATTGTACACTCGTTTTTAAAATGCAATCCATATGCAATTCAGTATTATGTAACTGAGATGCATGATTCAATAAATATCATACCATACCATGAAAATTAACATAATTTTTAAAACTCACAACATGAATTAAAACCATTTTCATGTACATGTACAATTGTACATACATGTACATGTACATAATTCAGGAATTAAAACAGCCTATCGAATCCGTAGGTCACGCAGTGTTAAACTTCACTAGGCCTACATGTATACTACACAGTTCAATACAGAAGGGACTCCAGTTACAGTACTCAGTTGCGCAATAATGATGAATATCTAGCTGGTTTTGAGACTTCAATTTTCACATTATACAGTGCGACAGTGCGTCCCAGAAAAAAAACTTAAAATCATCTATGTTCTATCATAACCTAATCACAATTATAATGAATAAATGACATGTATTTGTAAAGCTTAGATCCTCCTCTTTCATTTGATGCAACTCATATGATGCATATTTCATGCATAAGTAATTAAAAACAATTTGAAGAAAGGGTCCAAAAAAGTCATTTTGCGAACGGTACATGTATCTGAATTTCAAAGAGAAAATCACATTTCCAAAAAGTTCATTTTCAACCCTTTCATATGACACCTCAATCAGGAAAAATGAGCCAGGAATAACAACGTTCTGTTTGTTTAAAATAATGCTTGCATTTCCATAATTTTATTAAACAGAAATCATTTTCACTGGTGACCTGCCGTAGCAACAAATAACAAACTCCATTTCGTTGACGATCAAGTCGATCAGCCATGCATGAAGTCTTTCGTGGAACAGATTCGTTTGATAAAATTATGGAAATGAAAGCATCACAGAACTTTGTTATTCCTGGCTCATTTTTCCTGATTGAGGTGTCATGAAAGAGCAGAAAATGAACTTTCTAGAAATGGGATTTTTCTTTTTGAAAGTCAGATACCATTCGCCAAATGACTTTTTGGTACCCTTTCTTCAAATTGTTTTTAATCACTTACATTTATGCCTGAAATATACATCATATGAGTTTCATCAAATGAAAGAGAGGATCTAAGCTTTACAAATATGTGTCATTTATTAATTATAATTGTGATTAAGTTACTGTATGATAAAACATCGATAATTCTCGGTTTCGTTTTTTTCTGGGACGCACTGTACATATACATGTACATGTATTATATACACATATACAAGTACCGGTACCTGTATACCGGGTATGTAATATTTTGTTTAAGTTGTGGTGCTCTGAAAAGTAAATAATGGGGTAGATTGTCTTGCAAAAATGTTAGAAAAGGACTGCTGCACCTGATTTCCAATACTCAACTTAGGGTGGAGGCATACATGTACATGTATAGGAGACGCAGTCGCATTTACATGTATTTATTTGTAAATAGGCAAACCATGTCGTGTACAGGGTGTACACTGTATCTGTGTTTTAACAAATTATCAAATCATTTTTAAAGCTTTTTTGACATCTATAGATCTCGACTCACAGAAGCGTTAATACATTCACAAAAATAAAATGTATTGGATTTGGACTAGTTGCCTACATGTAAATCCTTGAATAAATTAAAATTTAATTAGTTTGGTAGTTCACTGTGTAACCGGCCATTACATGATCTATCTAACTCTGTGAAAACTTGTTGTTTAATACGGTACTTTAATTTAAGCTTTCAAAACAAAAAATGAACAAGAAATACTGAATTCCTATCACTATAAATTTGAAGCATTTTCATAACTTAGTCATTGTATAAAGCAATCAACGTGAATCTGTAACTGTATATCATGATTTCTTAAATTATATCAATCAACTTTTTTGTTATACATGTATCTCTCATTTGTTACATATAGCTAAATAGTGTGCTGTGTATCAAATTTTGATTATGACGAGTCGACTTCAGTCTAACTCAAGTCTCAAGCTTTATTTTGTTGAAGTTCCATACAATTTGTTTTCTTTTATGTAAAACTGGAATCACTGCTTTAAAGTCCTATGTTATTCTCCTTTTTTTCTTCAATCCAATGCCTCCAGACATTTCTTCTTCCTGTTTTGTCCTTAGATACTTTCATGTTATTCTTTCTTTGTTTTGTTTTATGATTATGTTGATTGTCATATATCTTGGTTTCATGTATGATGTTGAGCCCTGGATACAGGATTACATACATGTGTACATGTAGGTGTGTGTAAATGAAGTAAATATTTAACAGTACTATACATTGATATTACCTTGTTCACTTTCTAACCTGGTTTTTCTTCTTTCTTTATTTCTTTCTACTTATTTCTCTCTCCTCCAGGGAATGACGCAGCAAGTAACAATGGGAGGCACAGTTGTATGAAAGCAGCACCATTGATCAAAGCTTTGCTTCTTTTAATTGTATGGCCTGTATCCACTGCTGCATATTTTTGTTGTTCTATTACAGTGCGAGTGATGCTCAGTCGGTATGTGGTGCGCAGCATACATACATACATACCTACTGATGTGAAGAGTAAGGCAATATTTAAGATCATGAGATAAATGTATATCAGTAATTCCTTGGCAGGTAATTAAAGATAAACTTGAGTTCTGGTTCACAGAATCTAAAAAAACTTTCACTGAATGTTCAAGATTACAAATAAATGTCATGTGCCAAACAATTTTGGAAGAAAATGTATACTCATGGCTGAGTAATGAGCATAGAAAGATAAAGAAATCAGGGTAGTACTAGCCCCGACACCATGTGTGTTGTCCCATATACATCTTTCTGTGTAAGTGATTGTTACTTTACCAAGACTCTGCCAAATTTATGATGATTTTGATGACTCCAGATCCTTGCATTACACACCATTACTTACATGCTATATGATCAACTTTTCTGATCCATTCCACACCTTTTCTTTCACAATGCAATCGCATTTAATACCAGAACTCAATTTTATCTTTAATTGTTTATTAGAATCAGCTCTATCCTTTCAACATGTAGCCAAAGCACAAATGTGAACAGTTAATGTATGTGTATTTAGTTGATTATGAAAATGATTGTTGAAATAATTGAGTACTTAGTTTTAGAGTTCTGAAATTCCTCACCTATTATGACGATAAGTTTAATATTGTTAATGTGATAAAGACTCGTATTGAACACTTCTATTGATAATGAATTGGTTTGTTTAGTGCAATCAACTGTGATCATTAAAGTACTTGGGATGTATTTGGGGGGGGGGAGAGAAAATCACTGCTTTTTTATTCCATGCTTTAGTTGGCAACTAAATTCTCCCTAGTTTGGTACTAGCTGGCAAGGTTCAATTAAAAAGGGGTCTTGAATGACGTGAAGTGGGCCACCCCTGCCCTTCCCCCCCCCCCACAAAACTGATAAAATCACCATTGTATAAAATATGCTTGTCCCACAGTAAGAGCTGGAGATATTAATGATAATAAATCTTTTTTTGTTTTAATAATTGAAGACTTTACAGTCTTGTGTAAAATTGACCTTACAATTTATACCGCTAGTTAAGTAAGTTAAACCTAAACTCTCTAGGAAAGCAGGCCATTAAATTGATGTTTTGGCTTGAATGGAACTACCCTACTGAAATAAAACTTAATAAATAAACTTTAGCTTTTTCTTTAAAGCACTGATTCTTAATAATGTACTGTTTTGTGACAAGTTTGTCTGAAGTATTTTGAAAGATTTGTAAACAGATATTGCAATTGTTATCTTCATGTTATATGTCTAAAGATTATGATTGGTTGAAATTCATATTCCGAAGACATTCAAAACATAACTACATGTCCGAAGGTGACACAAAGACGTAACTCCATTTTGGCCATTTTGAGAAAAAGTGGTTTATGTGTCACTGAGCGCTTGGGTCTATGTTTCACTAGTCATTGACGTCAATGGGGTGTTGGGTGGAGTTAAGACTTTGTGTTTCCTGGAAAGCCCACATTTTTTTTGAACATTTTGATATCAAATACTCATTTTTGCAAAATATGGAGTTATGTCTTTGTGTCAATGAAGTTGACCGAACCCTCAATGTATTTAGTTACGTTATGTTGTGGATATTTCTCCCCCCCCCCCCTTTCATCAATATAATGTATAGGGTGTTATATACCTCACTTAAGAAATCCAGCCATCTGATTGGTCGAAATTGCATTCATAAACTTCAACTATTTCTGTAAAATTCCCAGTAACCATGGTTAAAACAGTTCTATAATCCCAGTAACCATGGTTATTGGGAAAATAGTTCAGTCTCCATGGTTACCCCATAGGTTTACATGTTAAAAAATGGTCTGAGCGATCGAGGATACTGTACATGTACGTGTGCGAAGAATTGGTCGTTAATTTCAATACAATTGAATCTCGATCGATCTTACCGACAATTTTATCTTGCATTGTTGACATGAAGACAAAAATAAACTTCCAAAAACAAAAAAACAACATCTGCCGATAGATCTTTATCTAAATTCGTGCCAATATGCATTGCAAAAGTAAAAGAAGGGCCTGTTTAATGGAGCAGCCGTGAAGCATCCACCACACGAAGCCTTTTTTAAATCCATTTTAATGTATATATAAGAAAAAACTGCTACGTATGGTAACAGAGCGCGATAGCCGAGCGGTTTAAGGCGGTGATTATCGTTAGATCGTCTTTTGTACGCAAGAGATCGAATCCCATCTTCGACAAAAGTTTTTTTTTTTTTTTTTTTTTTTTTTTTTTTGGCATATAAAAGTATTAATGACTGCTTTAATATTCAAGAAATAGTTGTTTTTATACGCTCAAGGGAAGGTTACAATTGGGCTATTGCCCTCGGCACGCCTCGGGTAATAGCACAACTCTAACCTTCCCTTGAGCGTATAAAAACAACTATGTTTCTCAAAGCAGTCATTAATACTATAATATCAAGCCTATACACATATACCATTTGCAGAGTGTTTATAACAACCAAGTACTGCTAAAATATTTGGCACGAATGCTCAAAAATAGAAGAGAGAGAAAAAAAAAAGGAAGACATGATAATCATGATATTTGAACCTACATGCAAAATCATGATATACTTGTACATGTGGATGTTGATGTGAACAAAAGGTTTAGACCTCATGTATAATTTAAAAAATGTATAAAAGGTTAATTATTTGTTGAGTTTGAAGGAGTGTTCATCTCCTGCATCACAGCTCAATTCACCCTGTTCTGTTCTCCCCTATATTGTAAATTGTAGGGCTGTAAGTAACTCTTTGTTTTATACTGTCAGTGGTACATGTTCTGTACTGTACAATGTATGAGATCTCTTGAAGGAATAAGTCCAGCAGCCACTGACCAACGTCTCAGCATATTGAATGTACATTGCAATCCCTTATTCAAAGGTCTACATAGTCAGTAGTGCAATAAGACACTGTACTTTCATTATCAATTTGTTATTATTTTGTAGTATTTGACTCTAATCATGAAATGAATCTTGCTTTGATAGGAATTGCTTGTAGAATATTGCTTTCTTTTTACAAAGGTAGCAAGATATTCTCATGGATAGCAGTATCTTGGATCCAATAACATTAGTAGTAGCATTGTCTCTCAATGAAGTAAAGCCATACTAAGAATAGTCTTCTTGTGATGGGTTTGGTTACATCACGTAGAATCATTGATTGTCCATTACAGTTTTAGGGTTAACATGTATCTTTTATATCATGTTATGATAGGTAAATGTTGAGTTGGGTAATATAGTGAAAACTATATCATATTTTCTGTAAGTTTTTTTTTAAAAAGCATTTCATCTTTGAATGATTAGATGTTTAAAAAATGATTCCTATTGTAATTTGAGTAGAAATAGAAGAAATTTATATTTTTTGCTTTTGCTAAGTTTTACACATTATCTGCAATTATAATTTCACTGTATGTGTGCACAGCTGCATGAAGATGAAATAAAAAATAGAAAGAAAAGCACTTTACAATGTGCTTATAATCACTGCCCGACAATCAAAAGATAATGAAATCATGATTTTGATTTGTATCTAAAGCTCAATGCAAACCTATTATGCTAATCCCCATGCCCACTTTGCATGTGAAGACAAGTTCACAGCACATAGTCCAGACATGTCAAACTTTCAGCTGGTACATCCACATTTAGTTGAATATCTTTTTTTGTATACATGTGAAAGTTCCTCCGGTGTATTTGTATGATGCTTACAAAACCATTCTATATATTCAATGAGTGCTCCCTAATTCACATCTACATGTATATAGTATGCATCCATGAGCAGTTAGTGCATGCATACATTCAGGGTTGTTGTGATCCTGACTCCTGAGAATCACTCATTTTGCATGATTTGGGTCTCATTTTAAAGATGAGATATCAAAGTTTTTCTGCCAATGAACAAGAATTATGTCCACAAGGTTTTTTGAATGGATATTTACATTAGGATATTAGCAATATGAGCTTCCTTTTATAAAACCTTCAGTGCTAATTTTCACCATTAAAGCACACTTGTATCAACTCCAAATGATCAATGTCTACAGGACGAGTAGATGTTATTCTTTGCATTGGTGTCAATATCAGGAGATGATATGGTGTAGCGGGGACTTGCCGATGTACTTCCTTTTAAATGTCTCTTCTGTGAGATCTTAAGTCAAGAGTTAAGTAAGAGTAGGTAGATTCCATCCATGAATGCAATGACGTCTGTCGATGTCTCTACACTCAAGGTTCACTCCGAGATGAATATTTGCGAAATGATGTACAACAGTACATGATCATCAGTACCGGTAACTGCATTTACATTGCAAGCAGAAATCATTGATTTTTCTCACATTGCAGTGGCTCTTATTTTAATTAAGATCAGGGTGGACCTCCCCTTTAAGGCCTGTGTTTGTAATACACAACTACAAAGTTACTTTAGAACATTCAATGGTATGTTGTACTTGCTTTTATCGGATACTGTAATTTTGAATGTATTGTCTGATGAATAAATAACATGTTTAAGTAATTAAAGGGGTCCAGTCAGAATATATCGCTGTACATATGCATGACCACAGGTTTTCAACACCCCCCCCCCCCAAAAAAAAAAGTTTTATCCATTGGTCAAAAATATCAAAATCACTCCCTTTTCAATTTTTAGGGGGCTCTTTTAAAAAATATTCACTTCCTAAACAAGTTTAACACCTTCAAACATATCCCCTTAACAGGCCTACCTCAATTAAACCTCTAAAAAAGTACTGAAAAACAGTATTCTAAATGCATATTAACAAACTCAACAAGCATACACCTTTTCCAGATTTTGTGTATACAGAAATATATTTGAGTGCCCCCAAACTTAGTGTGTGTCTATCATCTTAATTAGAGATATTCATTGTCATCACTAATTAGTATGAATAATCATGTGAATTCAAATTAAAATGGTGAAGCAAGAGCTATTGAGTTTTGTTTTGGGGGATATAAATCCACGTATTAAAACCATGACTGTGCTGTGTGGTCAATTTTTTGAAAGCCATGAAATTGAAATTGTCCATGTTATAAGGTTGTTTCTGTAGTAATGTACATGAAAGACTAATGAATTGTAAGACTGTTTATAAGGATTTGTGAGGAGTGATACATCTATAATTTTATGGTAAAGTCTTTTAAGAGAAGCCTGCATAAACCCACATTTTAGAGGAGATTCATAATCATTAGCTTTATACAAATAAGC